CTCTTTCTTCCTCGATTTTTAGCACCGATCAACATGTAAAAATTTTAGTGGGATCGAAGAGCAAATGAAAATTAATATTTCATCAGTTGAATATTTGCTGATTTGTTCTCGGGGCAGGGGGTGAAGAGAAACGTGGCGATGGCATGGAAAAAAAAAAAAGGAAGGAACCACAATCACCGTTTGGTGTAGGGCCACTGCAGTTGATTATTGTACCAGATGCATGCAGTTGATTGATCTTGTTCTTGTTGGAATGAAAGACAAAGAAAGAAAGAACATAACGTCATCTCATCAACACAGTATTTTGGGAGTTTTGGGCGCTGTCAATGGTAATTCAATTTTGCAATAATATATATACCGAGCTCCCTTACCAACTCCCATGTCCTGTCCTCCTCCTCCTCTTTTCAAGACAATACTGCTACCTTTACTATATATGCTGGGTCCAACTCCATCCAAGAATATATTATTTACCTAGTAACCTTTTTTGCTTCAAACGAGAAGAAGAGAAATTAAGATTCATCACCTTCTAGCTAAACATGCCAGTGTTCTCACTTTTCCAACAGTATTGAACCAAAAGGATAAACCCATAGTCACTGAGCAAAAGAAATAGTGAACTTTCGGTAGTAATTTTCCAACAAGAGTAATGTCACCAGAAGAGTCCGAAGGAACTAGAGGAGAGGACGGTAGAGGTTCTCCTTGTAAGGCTGAAACCGTTGAATTTCGACTGACAATTAAAATACATGCATCCACGAAACTCTACATGCAAGACTACAACTACTTGTGTTTAAAAGCTTTACACTGTAATCTGTACATGGTTTCAAAGAAAATGGAATTGGAGGTAATAAAAAATATTCTCTTTTTACAATTGGTGCTAGTTTATATCTCAGCTCCAACTCTCGAAGGAAATTCAAAGATATCCGGAAAAGAAAAAGTATGTCTCCCTATTTTGTGAAACATTATTTCTTTTTTTATTCATGTGTCTTGGTTTCCCTTGTCAACCATACCAAAGTTAAGGAAAGTCGTGCTCTTTTATTTAGACTGTTTCTTAATTGCCCCGTAGTTAGTTACTTTTCTTTGTAACCAAAATTAAAGCAATATTTCAATTCCAGAAATTTGTTTTGGATGTTTAATTGAGGCTTCCTGCCTAGGGTAAGGGTGTCAATTGTATTGAATTTGGTCAAATCCGATCCAATCCAATGTGAGTCTATTATAAATGGACCAGGTCTAATCTAATAYAATGAATGTTTTGGACCAATTTGGACCGGTCTGATTCAATGTCTGGACCGTCCAATCTATTCAAATTCATTTTGATTTAGATTGGTTTCAACTCAAACCCCATTGGTCAATACATATATTCTTATCTTATATCAATGGACCAGATATTTGCTTAATCCAACCCAATCCAATATAAATTTGTTACGAGTGGACTAGGTCCAATCCAATCTAATAAATATTTTGGATTGAATTGGTTCAATCCAATATGTCTTGTTGGTCCGTCCAATCCATCCAAATTGATTTTGGACTAAACGGAATCTAACCCAAAACTAGTCCATTGACACCCTTAGACTAGGGTACCAACAAATTAAACAGGTCTGAGTACTCATACATGGGCCTTAATATGCACCGGTTCTGGTTGTGCTCATCTATGACATTGATTCCAGTCTTCAAGACTTGACCCAAATAATAATTAATTAATATATATATATATATATATATAATGTGTAGGGAATCAAGCGTATGAACATTGACGAGTGTTAATAGAAACACACTAGGAATAGGATATACAAGATAATTAGAAAGAAAGCAAAACAAAGCAAATGGATTTCCTTTCTAATTTTACATTTCTTCTTCCACAAAATTTAACTCACAAAGGAGTCCCCAAGTCTACAAAGCAAATGAATAGGTGACCCGCATGTATGTTTTGTGGAACCAGATGTGCCAATTATAGTTCAGAGTTGAGAGTACTATGTCTTCGGATTGGAACCCGTTAATGCCCCTAGTTCCAGAGACTCGAATAACGGAGGAGGGTGTTCACTCTTGAATATATATATATATATGTCATCATAAATGCGAGAAGATTTGATGCTTTGTATATGATATGATATATCACCTAACTACTTGTCTATCTTCAAATTCAAATTGGTTTTGGTTTGTAGACGCATGTAAGTGTCAGTACACGAATTGACCCATAAATGATTCCAATTAGGCCTTATTTGTGTTATCACATCACATAGTACGCAATAAGAACCTTGCAAATTTGGTCATTCAGATTAGGAGTAGATGCAACTCGTACCTAGGCCCTATCTGCATGTATAATTGACCTGATGATGTCCTATAATTGTAGACCTAATTTAAAAGTGGAATTCATTCTTAGTTAAAAGGAAAGTTCAATCCCAAGGTAACGTATAGCGTTAGTTATTATTTATATGTATAATTCAACTTGCATGTAGGATCAGGTTCTGTAGTGCTAAGCAAAACAGACCCACTAATTAATTTGTTTATTCCCGTCAAAAAAAGTGAACAACCAAATCCCAAGCAGCCGGGATTACATTGATGAGTCAATTAAGCAAGGAGATGATATGAGATGCGTTTATAGTAGTGTAGTACTCCCTCTTTTGTACATATACATCCTTTAATAATATGTTGAGTTGGATATCAATTCCTGGGTTACAACTTACAACTAACAAGTTGGATGAGCTATTTCTGGGTAAACTTCGTTGATTACGATTTTTAAGATGTCAATTAGTAAATTCATGAAGTTGATATATGTTTAGATTGTGAGTTGATTAAAGAYTAGTGGCTCCTTAATTGCCACAAGCCATCCGAAAGTCAAGTGGGGCGCGCTCTCAGCTCTGTCCTCTCTCCTCTGTGGAGTGTGGAGAGCCCATCCCATCTGCGTACTGCGTGCAGGATTGTTGATTCAACCCTCCAAGTCCAAAATGAGCCAAAAATATCGTAGCGAGAGCTTGTTGTTGCTGCTTTGGCAAGGCCAGAAATTGCAAATTCGTTGGACCACCGGCGAAGAAGGTTCTGGGAATCGTGATATTCTTTCGTCCTTTTCCATATCAATGACCCCACGACGACCACGAGGCATTAATTCATTGCGCTTGAGTCCTCTACCTTATCTTTTACTGTTCCAAGCTTCATCCACACGTGTCCCGTGATAGCAATATTGGTGACGGGCACTCAACTTTACGTCAACCCTTTGGCCCGCCCCAACTAGTGAGCACCGTCCATTCCATTCCTCTCCGCTCCTATTTCCTACCCACCTGTTTGACCACAGCTTGTCGCCACTCTCCCTTTCTCTCCACTCATTCCCCCACTAACAGAAACAACACTCACACACGCATATACACAAGCAGGTGCAGGCCGTGTGGACTAAAAAATGCCGGTCAGCTGAGGCAAGGCAACCCACGACTCGCACTCGCCTCCCCCGCACGCTTCCTTCCCCTTTCGGCTCCCGCATTTGCATTTTACTATTTTTCAAACGACCTGCGCTTGCCAACTTTCCCAATTCCCACATTTAAAATTTAGATTCAGACAAGAACAGGGTTTGCCTGCGACAAATACCAAATAACAATAACCTACGATACAATACAAAAACAATAATATGAGGGTTTAATATTTACTATAGACCATAGACTATAGAGGAGCACCAGCACGGCTGTCGGCAGTCGGCCAAACCATACAAGGCGCTACCCACCAACCAACCAACCTCGGTTTGTATTCCATTGTTAACATTATTTAATTTACAATTTGTGTCACGGTGCCACCCATCCCAACCCAATTAAATTAATACCTTGAACTAATTTAATTATGTAAAGAGTGTTGTGCCACGGCTCACTATTGGAATTACGACTACCACATACGTATTTGAATTTCAGTTTCCAATTTACATTTTTCATACGATTAATATTGTATTATCAAAATAAGTGATTTAGACACTATCATCGAGGTATGGAGCTGAAGGGCCCCCGGCCCCTATCTGATGGGCTGTCATCATTGTTCAACTTCGCTTATAGGCCCTGTCCTACCGATATGCAACAAACCAACAACCTTTTCTAGTGCGCGACTGCGCSTAAGGCTTCACCTACTCTTTACTCTCACATCCCGGAAGCCGGAACCGGAAGGGAAGACCATCCAATCCATCGCGAAATTTCTTGACACGTTCTACTAACCCATATCTTTGGTCTTTGGAGGACGCAGGATTTGCACAATTGACCACCAACTCCCTCCCACACCACACCCACTCACATTTTTTTTTTTTTTTATCTCTTGTTCATGTCGTAGATAGATGAAGGGAAGGGCCAGGCGGCAAGCTAGGTTTGTATACTGGATTAAGTCGTGATGTGATTAACTCAACCAATTCCAATTTGTCTTATGGATGGAATTAGATTCCATCTTCTAGACAGAGGAGAGGAGAGCAGAGCAGAGCATACCAAATTATTACTTATCCCTAAAGAATTATTTTAAAAGCTTGATTAGATCATTCCTTGTGATGAGACATAACTTGTCTGATATGTTAATTAATTATAGGGATTCGCACTATTCAATCCTAGCATAATTAATTCGCACTATTCGATCCTAGTGGGACCAGCTTGCATTCCTGATGATCAAGTAATACTTGTTTTCAAAATCCAAATGGTCATTGCCATTGATCAAACTCGGATGATCTGATCAAAAAGTAAAGTATACTGATTACAGTGTATTGCCCGGTAACGTAACATTATCTCCGTACGGTAAAATATATCATGATAACACGGTCTTATCACACATCCGAATCAAAAATCAAAATGATGTAGCAAGGCGTCTGGCGTCTGGCGAGAGGCGTCTTCCCTTAATTATCAAGTCACCGGAAACCGGAGGGAAGACCTGACAGCCTGGCAAGCCTCCCGCTCAAAATTTGATCTCCAACCATTCAACAACACGTGGCAATCCTGGATTTTGGACACCATCGCTTCTACAGCTGTCCCTTTCTCCCTCATTATAAATAGGAATATCTCCTCTTAGAGGCTCCCTCGCTAACATCACCACCTAGGTCCGCAGTAATCAAAATCTCTCCAATCTCCCCTCCAAGCTCCAATGGCATCTATTTACCATTTCATTTTTCTCACAGTTTTTCTCTTACTCTCGAACTTGTTCGTTAACCCTTCTTCAGCCACCTCGAGAATGCTGGCTCTTGTTCAACAGCAACCGCTGGTTCTCAAATATCACAACGGCGCTCTTCTTAAAGGTAATTACACGGTTAACATCATCTGGTATGGCAACTTCTCCCCCGTCCAGCGCTCCATTCTAGTCGACTTCTTCCAATCCCTGAATGCTCCTATTCCCCCTGCACCCTCCGTCTCGTCGTGGTGGAAAATTACCGAGAGGTACAAAGTGGGTTCCAGCAACCTCATCTTAGGGAAGCAAATCCTGGACGAGAATTACTCTCTCGGGAAGTCTCTCAAGATTTCTCAGATRGTTTCTTTGGCTGCTAAAGCAGGCCATGTGAACGCCATCAACGTCGTCTTCACGGCGAAAGATGTGGTGATCGAGGGCTTCTGCATGAGCCGTTGCGGTACCCACGGGTCATCTCGGGGGACCGCGGGGGACAAGAGCAAGTTCGCCTACTTGTGGGTTGGTAACTCGGAGACCCAGTGCCCGGGTCAATGCGCCTGGCCTTTCCACCAGCCCATTTACGGTCCACAAACGCCGCCGTTGGTGGCTCCCAACGGTGACGCCGGAGTTGATGGTATGATCATTAACTTGGCGACAGTCTTGGCGGGGACGGTGACGAACCCATTTGACAACGGCTACTTCCAGGGGCCGCCAAACGCGCCACTAGAGGCAGTGTCCGCTTGTGGTGGAGCTTTCGGTAAAGGAGCTTACCCGGGTTACCCAGGGGAGCTTTTGGTGGACAAGACCACGGGAGCTAGCTACAATGCGCGGGGCGTGAACGGTCGGAAGTACCTTCTCCCAGCCATGTGGGACCCCAAAACATCTGCCTGCGCCACACTTGTGTAAACGAAGAAAGCGTACGCGGAGGTGGCCTCTTGTATCTATGTAGATACGGTTGCGGGTGGGGGTAGTGTTTGGAAGTTGAAACTACAGAACTAGGGATACACTGTTTTTGAGTTTGTTGTTCTGCGCTGCCGTGTAAATTTTTCAGTTTCCTTCTCTTTCTCTTGATATTAACTAAACAAAGACTGATATATATAAATAATATATTTATATATTTCTTTGCCTTGCAAATATTAGGTGAAAGATGAGAGTGTAAAGGAATATATGTTAAATATTTTCATTGATAATAGAGGATGATTGTAGTTGTAGGGATTGGTATTTGGTAGGAGTAACAGTACGGGCCTACGGTCTCGGCCACTAAACTATGGTGGGCCGGCCTGCTGCCCACAGTAAACGACTTCGGAGCCCAATATATATCAAAGATGGGCGTGGGCGTGGGCGTGGGCGTGGAACCAGTGGATATGGTGGGTGGGTTCTGGTTCTCTAATCTCTACTCTATCGCATTGTTTAAACAAGTTCAAAGGACGATTCTCCAAATCCGTGACCGTGAGCTTTGGTGGTGGGGGGGGGGGTTGCGATGGGCTTGCGGCGTAAGGAAAGAGAGAGCATAAAATAAAATAAACGTGGTAAATAAAAAGAGAGGCAGCAACCCAATCTTGGCTTTAATTAGGAAAAAGCATCTGCATCCATCGATCCTGTACAGGTATGACAAACTCTCCCACAGGTGAGGAGGCCTTAAAACGTGGCTCATATGGGCTGCCAAGTGGATGTGTAAAGATAAAGTAGTTTTTGGAATAATTTATTTCTGAATGAACAGATGACATGCCACTTGACACGTGTCCCTCATCCTACTAGTAGAAGTTGAACAATCCCGAGGCACGAGGTACAATTTGGGCTATTTCTTCTGTTATGGGGAAATGGGCTATCAACTTGTAGTTTTTTTACTGTTTACATTTTAGAGTCCGTGAATGATGACTAATGTGGCTTTACAATACGTTTCTCTATCCCTTGGTTCTTAGGTCTATGACTCTCACATGACCGGACCCCCCTGTACATAAATTATGAGAGACAAAAACTCTAGCCAACAGGGGAGGGAGGGCCGGAGGGGGGATGCTGGCATGCTGCATGCACTTGGAAATTGGAATACTCGGCTTACTTTAAAATTTAATAAACTCATGTAAAATTACTTGCCTGATAAATCAGTAAAATTGATAWTGGACGACGAGAGGGTTGTAGAGTTGTAACAAGCAAAGTTAAAAAGAAATACGGTGAGCTGAGGGCGGACGGGCCCATTTTGTTTTGTTTTATATATATATATATATATATATTTTTTTTTTCATTTACAGCCATTTTTTGTTACGTACCTACTCATCAACAACATGTTTAAAAAGAGGAGAAAAAGTGTGCAGCCTTATTTGGAAAGACTAAAGAGTTAGGAGCAGCAGTCAGCAGACTGCAGATGAGGTAGAGCCCTGAGCCCCCGGGCCCTTAATCGTTGACGATACTTTTCTATTTTACGAAACATATGTAACAAGGGAGTGAATTATGTTAGTTTCAGTTCAACCAGCCCGATCAAACCAATTCAATCTATAGATCATTAAATTAATATACGTTAAATTGGTAACATCTTACATACCTAATTGTAGTGGTTTTCGATTCTTTTTTTGGAAGTAGCGGTTTTCGAGTAATGAGGGCAAAAAGGATGTCGGCCTCTCTCTCTCTCTCCAACCCAACCCCTCCCCAAATCTGTCTTTCTTGGATACGCATCTAGAATCAAGAATAAGGAAAGCAATGCCGGAACAAGCTGCAAGCGGCGGAAAATTTGTTAAAGCAGTGGCCAGTGGGACGCAGATGCGCTCAGATTGCTGTAGCTTTTGCATATATAGATAGAGTCGGTCTTTATAATGATGAAAATAGCCAACAGTGGGATGGGATGGAGCAACCTTTGCAAGAAGAAGTTGACAACTTTTCAAGTGTACCAAGTTAATTATGTAAATAGAGAAAGGATCAAAGGAATGATGTACAAGTAATTTTCTTCCTGAAAATAAAAATAAACTTATCACCCCACAAACATCTTTAAATATGCTGGAGTCCGGGTCTCGGGCCAGCCCATCAAAGGTGCAACTCTACATTATACAGTTTCCTCTTTTTCACTTCATTTTCCKTGCATGCTTCACAAATTTAGGCTTTGTTACCTGCAGTGCAAATCTGAACAAGATACAAAATTCTACATTCAATTCCGTTTTATTTCTGCTTGTTTTTCACTATAACTTGCATTTTTACCTGACGTAAAATTTGTACCTTTTTGTATCATTTGCACTTGTTGGTAGTGTACATTTTGGACCCGAAAAAATGATACAAAAYTAGAACCACCCTCCTACTGCCTTATTTCTCTTTTATAAGGTGGGAATCACACGGTCAAGACTCATGAGTAGTTGGTGGTGTGGGCAGATAAGTGGTGTTTGTTGGTTGAAGGGTTACCCATACATAGGGCTGTCGATTTGACTGGATTTGGCCCAATCCGATATTCATCCAGTTACAAATGGATTGGACCAAATCCGATCCAAATCCAAACAAATCAAGCCCAATCCAGTTTAAAATGCAAATGGACCGGACTGGATCCAATCCAATCCAAATTAAATAAAACTTTTGAAAAGTTACATAAAACCTTGGGAAAAAAAAAAACTACAACATCTGCAATCCAATCCTATTAAAAACACAAATGGACTGGATTGGGTCCAATCCGATCCAAAGTGAATGAAGAACCAAAATCACATGAAGAATCCCAAAAAATATTAGAAAAAGAGAGGAACATCTGTTGCAACTCAATCTAATCCAATTAAAATACAAATGAACTCGATTAGATTCAATCCGATCCAAACTGAATGAAACACCAAAATCACATAAAGAATCCTAAAAAAATATTAAAAAAATACATAAACATTTGTTGCATCCCAATCTAATCCAATTAAAATGCTAATGGGCTGGATTGGGTCCAATCCAATCCAAAGTGAATGGAACACCAAAATCACATGAAGAATCCCAGAAAATATTAAAAAAATATAGAAACATCTGTTGCAACCCAACCTAATCCAATTAAAATGCAAATGGACTGGATTGAATCCAATCCGATTCAAAGTAAATGAAACRCGAAAATGACATGAAGAATCCTATAAAATATTAAAAAATATATAAAAAGATCTACTTCAATCTAATTTAATCCAGTTAAAATGCGAACGGACTGGATTGGGTCCAAACCAATCCGGATTAATGAAACTTTAAAAAATTACATGAATAATTCAAAAAGTATAAAAAAAAAAACTATAGAAATTTCACAAAAATACAGAATTAGATTCAATCGGTCCAAACTACATTTCTCTTGAATGCAGAAMTGATTTAGATTCAATGAACCAACTGCAAATAATGGTTGCCCATTTAAAATCAAACTTCATACACATAATACAAGTTTCTGAAACCTCACAATACAAGGGAAATTTCAAAGCCAGAAACAATGAAATAATTTACAATTAAATGGAACTAAAATCCAATTATTGTTGAAACAGCATTACCAATATCAATATCAATCTCTCCAAGTATTGGGAATTCAAGTAATTATTCAACAATACAATATTTGCATCTGAATCAGCTAAACTATGGCAGATCAAATTATTCTTTGGGGACACTACCTACATCTGAATCACCCTAATTACTGCAAACAATTTTGTAGGAAGTTGTTGGCATGCTTGCCCTTTTTGCTCATGGTTCTTGCAGTATATAAACTGTTTTAATACAAGCTCTGTTCTTCAAACTGAATCTCAGCAGCCCATCTGCATCAGGGGAAGCACGGAGAGGAGGAGCGTGTCAATGCACGGTGATGTGACCGTTTTTTGGTCAAGTACTATTTTTTGTGATGTATAAATTTTTTTTGGCTAAGTACCTCGTGTTTGACCCGGTGGTGACGTACCTTAGTGATGAGCTACTTGGTGGCGAACTTCCTGATGGCGAACTGCCCGGCAGTGCTCCCTGGTGGCGAACTGCCTAATGGCGAACTGCCTGATGGCGAACTGCCTGAGGGCGAACTGCCTGGTGGCGCTGCCTAATGGCGAACTGCCTGGTGACGAACTGCCTTATGGCGAACTGCCCGGCAGTGCTCCCTGGTGGCGAACTGCCTGATGGCGAATTGCCTGGTGGCGAACTGCCTGGTGACGAACTGCCTGATGGCGAACTGCCTGGTGGCGAACTGCCTG